CCTGAGCCGAAGGCAGTCGCTTAACCAACTGAGCCACCCAGGCGCCCAGCAATACATTATTTTTAAACAGACTTATCCCTTGACACATAAACAACTATTTTAAACCAAACTATTGAAATTATGGAATAGGAGTTTCTAACATAAGTATACTTGACATGGAGAATTTAAAAAAACAAAACAGTAATTTGGAAAAAGTTTGCGTATTTAAAATGGATTCATCTACTTCTGAAAGTTAAATTTCACTTTATAACCACACTTGATATAGTTATATGTATCCAGACAAGAATATAAACAGATTTAACTTGTACAAGTAAGGTTTAAAAAGTCAGAAATTTCACTTAGAAGTCAGATCTCTAGGAAGGAAGATTGGCAACACTGGGTTGGTCTTAACACACAGCAAAAATTGGCTGGAGCTGAAAAGGGGCCACCTCCTTTGGAGGGGGTGAACCTTCTTTTGTCTGCCACAATTCATACCACTCATTGTTTAAACTCTACATCACCCAGTAAGTCATCTTCTAGACTCCTGTAGGTACTCAAATCTGTTGTGGCTGCTGACTCACATGGAGCTGAAAAGATTCCTAATGATTTATTCTAATCATTTCATTCAGAACTTATGGAGGAAATGACATGGAATACAAATATAGGGGTTGGCATTCAGTAAGCCTGAGTTCCACTGGTCCTGTCAATAACCAGTTGCCAGATTTTAGCTAAGTGGCTTACTACCTAAAGAGGTAACTATATTCTTTTGGTGTCTGTCTAAGCACCCATTTATGTCTGGACAGAGAAGCTGCATCAGTAATGTGAAAAGCCATCGAATGCTAGTATAAAATATTTGGATTTTATTTAGGTAGGCAGTGAAGAAGCATGGAGCAGGGAAGAGTAGGGAGGTGCTAAGGAGGTAGTCAAAAAAGAATAAGAATTAAATAGGATAGTAGAAATGGAAGATAAATTATGGATATGAAAGATACTGTGGAAATTATAGTCTGCAGGAGGCAAAATGAAGGAGATATGAGGAAATGGGGTGATTTACTGATGCTTGGTGCCATTAACAAAATTGAAAGTTTTCTTTTTTTTTTTTTTAAAGATTTTATTTATTTGACAGAGAGACACAGTGAGAGAGGGAATACAAGCACGGGGAGTGGGAGAGGGAGAAGCAGGCCTCCCGCAGAGCAGGGAGCCCGATGTGGGACTCAATCCCAGGACCCCGGGATCATGACCTGGGCCGAAGGCAGACGCTTAATGACTGAGCCACCCAGGCGCCCAAAATTGAAAGTTTTCAAATGAGATTGTTCCTTGAAGGCTTCCTGTGTTTATTTCCCACATAATTTTTTACCATATTAAATATGCTTTAAAAAGTTAAAGTTATACAAAAATATAATTGCCTTCTGAGTAGGGTCTCAGTGAATTAATTAGGACTTAAAAAGTTACAAAGTAAAATTTATGATTTTTTCACTGTGATCCATCCCATCCCATCGTCAACCCTAATTGTAAATTTATCTAGGACTGAAACATGATTTCAGAAAAACCATAGCAAATGTCAAAACATCATGGTATTTCATCTAACAAACATTTATTACATGCTTACTGTGTCCAGCACCAGGAACGTAGAAAGCAGTAAAATGTGGTCCATGCCCTTACAGGGGCTTATAGACTAGCAGAAGAAGACATAAAAATAAATAAGTGCAATAAAAAGTAACACAGGTGCTGGTCTCCAGCTGGGATATGTTTAAAAAAAAAAATCTCTGCATTACTAATTCAAAAAGAGCTTAATATATACATGTACAAAGTCCTATCGAAGAAAGGAAAAAATGAGTAAAAGAATCCCAAAATTATTACTTTTCCTTTAATCGATCACCTCTCACACCACCTCTTTCCAAAGTCCTCTACTATGTCATGCTCATGATACTCTTAAGAATTAACACCTTTTTAAAGCCACACCTTACTCTCAGCCAGCACCAGTAACTTTTTCTCAGCTTTAACTTGCATTCTTTTCTTCCCCCTACTTTAAGTAAGGACAAACTGATGCTTCTTTAGGAGCTGGATTCTCCATTTCACTAACAGTTAAGACAAATTATAAAAGAGCACTCTACAATGGGAGATATAGGCTTCCAGATGGAATGAATAAGTCACTGGAATAAAAAATACAACATAGGGAATGTAATCAATGATATTGTAATAGTGTAGGTGACAGATGGTAGCTACACTTGTGGTGAGCATAGCATAACATATAGAGAAGTTGAATCACTATGTTGTACACCTGAAAATTATGTAATAGTGTGTCAACTATACTTAAAAGAATTTATAAAGAGGACTCTATAAACAATGGGCTTTCTTAGAAACACTGATCTAAGAATGACATTTTATCAATGATGCTAAAATTATCCTTTCAGAAATACACTGAACTTCAAATACTAAAATATGTACACATAAAACATACTTTTTAGGCTGCAGTTTTTCCATAAAAGAATCTTCTTTAATATATCCATCTGTTGGGCAGTATCCTTGTCTCCTATTTATAGTTGTAGCAATCTTAGGACAAAACAAGAATAAAAACAAAAACAAAGTCATTCAATAAATTCCATTTATCCAGAATTCAAATAACTAGTGTGCCATTCATAAATAAACTTAATCCTCTTTATTTTTTTTTAAAAGATTTTATTTATTTATTTATTTGAGAGAGAGAGAGAGAGAAACAGCATGAGAGGGGATAGGGTCAGAGGGAGAAGCAGGCTCCCCGCCGAGCCGGGAGCCCGATGTGGGACTCGATCCCAGGACTCCGGGATCATGACCTGAGCCGAAGGCAGTCGCTTAACCAACTGAGCCACCCAGGCGCCCAAACTTAATCCTCTTTAAATCAAAGAAAAAATTGTACGTGTATGATGCTTTTACCTTATTTTAATTTTTGAAGATATCTAATTTGGCAGCTATTAATTAAACAGAACATTAATTAAAACACTTCATTCTACCACCATTCTAAAGGAAATACTTGTAATACTTTAAAAGTCTACTGTAAAATTTTCACAATGACATCTCCAGTTATGTTCAAAACTTTAAAATACTTAGGAATAAATTTAATAAGAAAAATATAAGTTCTAAGAAAAGAAAACCAAATAATTTACTGGGATCATATAACAAAAACAGAGTAAATGGAAAATCATGTCAAGTTCCTAGAGACAAAGATTTAATATCCTAAATATATCTAATATAAAATACAAAAAATTAGTACAATTCTTTAGTTCATATGCAAAATATACTATGCAAGAATTATAAAATTTTAACATACCATTCAGTAGAGAATTATCCCACCAGATCATAAAGCTAATGTAATTAAAATCCTAGGGTACTGGGACAATAAATGAGTAGAATACAGCCACATTTGTATGGGAACTTAATACAGAATACAAGGGGCATTTCAATGAAATAGAAGGATTATTCAGCAAACAGTGTGAGAAAGGCAGCTTATCATTGTGAAGAAAAAAGTTATACACCCTCCCTACATCATATAAAATAGATTATAAAGTATATATATATCTTAAACACGATAGAAGTATGGAAAATACATGTATAACTCTGAGATGGGAAGGTCTGCCTAATCAAAGAAAACCTAGAAACCATGGAGGGAGAAAAATGACTAAAAGAAACATTTCTGAATGGCTAAATATAATAAACAAAATTCAAAGTGAAAGACTGGGAGAAAATAGTTAAGATATACAGGACAAAGTATGAATATCCTTATCACATGAAGTATTCTTACAAGTTAGGAAAAAGACAATTCAAAAGGAAAATGTGCAAAGGATCTGAAGGGATCTATTAAAGATAGAGAAGCTGATAAGTCAACATATGAAAGTGCTCAATTTCCCTAGTAATCAGGGAATTACAGTTTAAAGCAAGGATATACCTGCTTCTTGCTCATCAAATTGCCAAACATTAAAATATGACAAATTCAAACATGGATTTGTTTTGGAGTTAGAAATGAACAGAACTTGCTCACAGAATTTTTTTTGGTAGGAGTGGTTTTGAGATTATATAAAAATATAGTAAAAAATTTTGAAAACCACCTAAATGTTTATAATAAAGGGATTAGTTAAGAATTATAGCACTTTGGGGCACCTGGGTGGCTCAGTCGTTAAGCATCTGCCTTTGGCTCAGGTCATGATCCTGGGGTCTTGGGATTGAGCCCTGCATCAGGCTCCCTGCTCAGTGGGGAGTCTGCTTCTCCCTCTCCCCCTAGCTTGTGCGCTCTCTCGCTCACTCTCTCTCAAATAAATAAAATCTTAAAAAAAAAGAATTATAGCACTTATGTACAATGGTTTATTATGAAGCCATTAAAAGTAATTGTAGGGTATTAGCCAATGTTTTCAAAGTCAGCTGAGGTCTATACATTAAGCATATTATTTGTTATTAAATGTGAACTCAATTTTGAGTTGAAAATGCATCTTTCCTTCTACATAGTATTACCGATTGATTTAATTTAAATTTGCACACATGAAACTTTTTAAAAAGTAATTGTAGGAGACTCTCATGAAAATAAGTTAACATTGATGTTGCTAAAAAAAATAAAGACTACTAAATGTTACAGCCTCCCACTTAAATATACTTTTTTGGTAGCGGAGAGGATATTCTGTCAAGGTTTTAGGTGTAACATACTAAAGATAGCCATGTATTATTATTATTATTTTTAAAGATTTTATTTATTTATTTGACAGAGAGAGACACAGCGAAAGAGGGAACACAAGGAGGGGGAGTGGGAGAGGGAGAAGCAGGCTTCCTGCTGAGCGGGGAGCCCGATGTGGGGCTCGATCCCAGGACCCTGGGATCCCGACCTGAGCCGAAGGCAGACGCTTAACGACTGAGCCACCCAGGTGCCCCTAGCCATGTATTATTAATTTAAGGGAAAAGTGTTACTTTTAACCAATCACATTGGACCAAATGCTATTTTTAAGAATTCCCTCCCCCCAAAAACCGGGGCTAAAACCTTAATTTCTATATGCCTACTCATTTATCCCCCTTTGGTTTTGCATTTCGTAGTAAGAGATTAATGTTACTATCAACAGATTTGATACAGAACATCTCTTCCAGAAAATTTAAGAAAATATTAAATACAACTGACTTAAAAGATTTCAGTTAAAATCGTATAAAGATTCTTTTTTTTTTTTTTTTAAAGATTTTATTTATTTGACAGAGAGAGACACAGCGAGAGAGGGAACACAAGTGGGGGGAGCGGGAGAGGGAGAAGCAGGCTTCCCGCGGAGCAGGGAGCCCAATGTGGGACTCGATCCCAGGACCCTGGGATCATGACCTGGGCTGAAGGCAGACGCTTAACGACTGAGCCACCCAGGCGCCCCTCGTATAAAGATTCTTAACATGTAATTTACAAAATAAAAGTTCTCTTCCCAACCCCCACAGCTTGTCATCTAAGTTTTATTTCTGGTGGTTTTTTGGCTTGTTTTCGTTAACTGTAAATGAAAAAATGTGGTCAGATTTAGCCAGTATTTCTTTTATGGTTCCTGATTTCAGTGATATGTTTAACAAGACTTCCCCACCCAAAATTATACAATTATCTATATTTTCTTCTAGTTTACATTTTTAATTTGCATATTATTAACATTTCCAATCCACATGGGATTTTAATATATATTATCTATTGATCAGATAACTTATCCTTACCTCCTCACACAGTATATTTTTGGACTCAGGTCCAAAAGATCAATACAATATCAGTATTTCTGGAATGATACCTAAGTATGATCCTCTGAACAAAATCTGCCATCTTGCTGTGCAAAATGCAGAATGGTTATTATTAACAATATCAATCAAAAGCACAGAACAGATGTTATCAAAAACCATAGAACTATGAAAGATAAAGACTCACAGATAAATCCATATTCACCCAAACTCAGAAATAAGAACAAAAGTATACCCATTAATCCTGAATGGAATCATTTTAGGTTTAAATTTGAAATAAACAGCATTATGTAGGTCTTCAAAATTAAAGATAAATTATAAATACAAGCCTAATGTGAATATAGGTATTTAAATCTTACTTTTTTTTTTTTTAAGATTTTATTTATTCGACAGAGCGAGAGAGCACAAGCAGGGGGAGCAGCAGAGGGAGCAGCAGAGGGAGCAGCAGAGGGAGAGGGAGAAGCAGTCTCCCCGCTGAGTAGGCAGCCCAATGTGATGCCGGGCTCAATCGCAAGACCCTGGGATCATGACCTGGGCAGAAGGCAGAGGCTTAACTGACTGAGCCACCCAGGTGCCCCTAAATCTCACTTTTTAGAAAAGAGCACATAATATAAAAATAATAAACTACATTACTGAAATATTCTATAAATTCATTCTTACTAATTTAGACTAGATCCTTCCACTCGCTCTTATTCCAAATAAATATTAGATATCAGCAAAAATGCTAAATTTTGAAAACTAATAAAAGAGTGGTAACAATTTCAGGAAGGCTTCTTGAAGGGACTCCCTTAAGTGATCAGCTGGGGTGCCTGGGTGGCTCAGTTGGTTAACCATCAGGTAGGGCTCCCTGCTCAGTGGGGAGCTTGCTTCTCCCGTGCCTCCCCCCCCCCAGCCACCCCCACTTGGGCTTTCTCTATTTCTCTCTCTCTCAAATAAATAAAATCTTTTAAAAAAATAGTGACCAGCTTTAGTGCATCTGAAGAATCCGTTGTCCCTTGTCAATTCCCTGGGCTAACAGCACAAGGGAAATGGGAGAAAGGAAGGAAGAATAAGACAAATCACAGATCTTCCAAAGTAAGAGTCAGACCTAGTCAAAATGATACAAAATAGATTTATCACAACCCTAAAATCAAAACCAGTATTTGTCAACATACCATAAACATCTGTATAGATGTTTTCCAAAATAATAGCAGTATAATGATATAAGACCATTGAACATGAAATCATTTGTCAAAAAAGGGAAAAGCTACTGTTCTAATAAATTTGTCTGTTTTTTTTTAATATTAGAACAGGATGGGTATAAACAGAGACAGTTCCACCTGCCAGCTTATTCCCCTTTCCTTATTCTTTACCCACCACAAGACTGAATCAGTCAGGGATCTTCCATTACAACCACAGGAACTAGGATCCCCTTTGCTTTAACTATGTGGTAAAGCCTCATCTGAGGAGCCCACTGACGACAAAAAAAAAACCACCAAAAACCAAAAAACAGGAGAAGTGACTCTTCCACTATAAAGGCCATTATTTGTAAAGTATGTAATTCCAAAACAGACATCTTTTAATATGTAAATGTTTCCGCTATAATTAAAATCTTCACAAATTTATATAAATGTATGTATGTGTATTTTTACCATGTTTAACCTACAAACCAATTAATCCACACCTAAGTAATCATGGGCCAATTATAACACTTATTTTGACAGTCTTGAAGCCTGTAGAGAACTTCTGTATAATTCAAAATTGCCTTTTACAATTTTAAGAAAATCAGGTATTATTTCCATCTCACAAATGAGGAAATTCAGGCTTAGTGTGACAGAACTAGGACTGCATTCCAGGTCTCCCGCCTCCGTATTGTCTGTCTCACTGACACAAAAAACAATAGATATATACAAATCCTCAAGATCTGGTATCTCAAGTGGAACATTAAGAATTTAGAGATTAAGACAATTTTCTAGGGACATACTATATAAATTGAACTACATTTGTATTTGTAGCAAATGCAAAGATATTCATTAAATTTTACTTGAAATCCTTGATTTGTCCTCATTATTATGGGTCTATAGTGCAACTGTACTTTTTCAGTGTCTCTGAAGTTAACTTGAGGCCACTGTTTAGTTTAGCTTCTCTTTTTAAACTATGGCATCTCTACAAATGTAGATTTGATGACACAAAGATTGAAGGCCAGGGAGAGTTCAAAATTTGCTTGCGTGGCATTGGTGTGGTAAAGAAGGGTAGGGATTTGAAAGGAATATACTTCATTAAAAATAAATAGAGGCAATTTCCCACAGAAGTCTCCTAAGAGTCAAAAAAAATAGGTAGGCTGATTAATATAGAACTTTTAATTCTGTATTCTTTTTGATCACTCTGAACAATTATAAAATGAATCAGAAAAGCTTTATCTTTTGTTAAGTTTGAGTCAGCAGCAAAAATGCAAGTTTTTAGGTTCTAACTAGAAGTATGTTGTCTCTAACATTTTTATCTTTAACATTAGGTTGTAATGTATTAAAGATGAAAGATGATAAAACTTACCTCACAATCAGGGCATATAATTGTGCTGTATTCTTCAGTTATTAACAAGCACAGTTCACAAAAAGCATGTCCACATTGAAGTTCATGGTGGTGACCTATTAATGAAATTCTGTTGTGAATTAAACTTTTAACAATTTGTCAGCATTGAATGTGACACATTAATCAGAGGGGAAAGTTAAAGGGGATGCTCATGTATAGGAAAAGATATCAAGTGTCATTAGAAATGTAGGAATTATTGAACAAAATTCAGGAGAAACTATGTAAGTCAGAAGAAAAAAAAAAAAAACAGGTCAAAAACCAGGCAGTACTATGCAATACATTTTGCACTAATTTAGATAGTTTTTGGTACCTATAATACTTTGAACTTGCCATATCTTTTAATCATACAAAATGCTCTGACATACTTTATTTGATCTTTGTAAACATCATAGCTAAGTAGGCTTGGGAAGGTTATATTCAACTTAGAAATGGTAAACATTTTGGTGATCTGGCGAAGTAAATGGTATAATCCAGACTCCAGCTCAGTTCTGTTTCCAAGTCCAATATTCTTTCTACTTGATCCTATTGCCTCTACTAATTTATATTTCTAATCCTGTGAAGGGAGCAGGGAGAGCAGAAATGAGACATTGGGAAGACCCCTCTCTTACAATGACCTAAGATACTGGCAAGGACAGAAGCCAGATGCTATTACTGTCACACATACATACCCGCATAAAGATAATTTTCACAAACCTAGCATTTATGAAGGGAAATACCATAATCTTGAGTGAAAACCTAGTATCAAGATTTTAATGCTCTAATTAGAATTTGACATTTATCATAATAAACATGTTTTAGTTATGCAACTTGAAAAAGTTGTAATTTTAAAACTTTTCAAGAAAAAAGGAAATTAGATTAAATCAGTCATCTTTTATTGGCAAAAAAATTAGTGTTCTTTCTGATTTATAAGAATTACATTCTTTTGATTAAAAAAAAAAAGCTTTAGTTTTCAAGCCAAGTGAAGTATCTGAAACTTGCTTAGGACCAAGCTAAAATTTAAAGTTCTATTTAAATTCCAGAGATCCTACCAAAGAAATAAAATGTTTAACTGTTCTATCTTTATAAAATTTCTGATATTGTTCAAGTCTAATTTGTGGTGCATCATAGCTTACAAAGCACTTTCACAATTTTATATGCATAAACACCATCTAGAGTATTTCTGAGCACTGTAATACAAACATATGGAAAAACGAGTGATTTTAGAAGGTCGTGTTCTAAACAACTTATTTCTTTCAAATAGAGATTTTCTATGTAACAGCAGTGATTAAAAAAAAGAGGAGAAACTTGGCTCTCCACCCTAAAACACAACCAACTTTCTCTACAAAGGTCCATGTCTATTAAACGGAGTCCATCTTGGAGGACTGAGAAAATTAACGACTTTCACTTTGAAAGTATAAACATTAAACAATTATGGGGGTGGTTAAGACTTCATTCAGCAGCTGCAGTTTGAAATTCAACAACTCCTCTCGGTCAGAGACACAGCACTCTAAGGCATTTTAAATTAAAGTAACTTGAATGTGTTTTCAGTTGAGTAGAGTCCAAATTAGATCAATAGGAGTGCAGTGGATATTCCTCCTTGACATACAAAGAAAAACACAAGATGCCCAACAGGAACAAACTGTTTGCCAAACAATGCTTAAGCCAAACAGCAATAATACCTCCCTCCGGATCCCAAACAACTGTTTTTAAATCCAGGAACATTTTTAAGTGGTCTACTTGTTACTCCTACAACAAAAACTACGTAAGAAAATCAAATTTCATTACTTCTGAATCACAAGACCATGGGCTAAATTTTTACATCTACTCTTTCATGAACCTGTGAACCTGGGGAAGTTTTCGAAATAGTGCTCAAGAGAGCTCACACGTCATCCCCTAAGAGAATCAGTGAAAAAAAGGTGAGAAGCAGGTGCAAAGCGGAGAAAGCTTTGGAGAGGCACGAAACGACCCTCAACCGACCACAGTGGGTGTCTCTGCTGCCCTGAGCGTGGGCTCCTGGCAATCGGGGAGGCCCGTGAGGGCAGTTTTCCCCGTCCATCTTGCTGCGACCGAACATCCCCCGACACTGCCAGCTCCCTTGGCTCTCAGACCTCCGGGTGGGCCTCGCTCTCAGGTCTCCACACCCAGCAGCCTGATTAGGATGGAGCCCTTAAAGGGCAGGTGGCCAAGGCAGAGCAGGGCCCTCGGAGGCTCACCCTCAATCTCCTCACCGGAAACTCTGGACACCCTTCTTCCACACTGAGTACACTGAATCTCGGCAGTACCCCAGGGCCGACTCTTCCTCCCCATCTGTTGATAGGAAGACAGGGTGAACCGAGCTGCGGAAGCTTCCGCCGCCATCTCTGCCCCCTTTTGGCTCCGAAGACCGGTACCACGTGCCATTCCCGGCGTCCTTCGCGGCAGCTACCAATCATCAGAGGCAGGCGTCTCCAGACAGCCAATCAAAGAGATTAAAGCCCGCCTCCTCAGCTTGCTTTGTTGCGGTGTCTTTCCAGGTGCTGCGTGGCTGTTTGTGGTTTTGCTCCGGGCGGCTCCATTCTGAGAAAGTACGGGGTGGGGAACCTTTTTATTTTCAAATCTTTACCCAAAGCCCACCACCTTAGCGCTCTTACTGCATTCAAATTCAGATCTCGCATATTATTACTGACGTTGTTGTTGACTTTACAGGTAGCAGTCTTTTATATTGAAGTTATCCATCTTCCCTAAGTGTGTCGGGGCCAGAAGCCTAAACTCGTGTGCTAGGCATGTGAAGGTTTGGCTAATAGTGAGCTTAGTGGAGAACCTATCAAAAGCTGCCGGTGGGGAGAGTCCGTTAGTAATTTCAAACTAAGGCCTGGTCATCTTTAACAGTTGTTGAGCATAATGGTAAACAAGGCACTGCTGGGAGCAGTTGGGGATGGTAAGAATCGATAAACTAACAGGTTCCTGCGTGAGAGGTATGTAGCCCTCTACCTAAAACGGTAACTTTTGGTAGGGTAGCTTGTGTTCAGTACCAAAGGAGGGTTAGAGACAATAAGAATTACTGAATTCTAAGAGATGATGTCAGTATGACCCACAGTGGTATGAAAAGCCTTCCTAGAGGATATAGGGGTTTGCATTAGAACTTAAAAACTGGATAGGACTAGGAAACAGGAAATCAGGCATTCCGGGGAGAAAGAATGGCATAAGCAAAGGGAAGTGGGTGGGAGATATAGTGGTCTCTTCAGAATTTATTTTGTCGGCCATTTGGTCAGAGTATTAATTTCCTTGAAGTGAGCTTTTTGGAGAGGTATGTTGGGGTCGAATTTTGGAGAGTCTTGAACGTTGTACTAAGGAGTTTGGACTTTACCCTTTAAGCAGTAGAATGCTGGTGAAGTTGTATGAGCAAGGGCTGCAGTAATCTGGTAGCAATGTGGCAGGTGTGTCATGGAGGAAGCACCTAGGGATGGCAGGGTGCCTTCAGAGGTTAAGAATAAAAGCCTGCATATATTCCTATTTTCCCTCTACATTTAAAAAAATACAAAAAGAAATATTATGTTCAAAAACTCATCCCTGCTCAAAAATGTTTATACTTCGTTGCCTTCAGGAGAAAGTATTAATTTCTTAATCTGTCCTCATGCTATTCATGCAATGGTTTCTACTACTATTCCAGAATGGAATTTGAAGTACTGATCAAACCAATATTCCCATGGAACATGCTGATTCTTTTTTAATTTTTATTTATTTTTATTTTTTTAATGTTATTTTATTATGTTAGTCACCATACATCATTAGTTTTTGATGTAGTGTTCCATGATTCATTGTTTGCATCTTTTTTTTTTTAAAGATTTATTTACTTCTTTGAGAAAGAGATGGAGCACGGGCACCCGAGCCAGAGGGAGGGGCAGAAGGAGATGGAGAGAATCTCAAGCAGACTCCCCATTGAGCGTGGCGCCTGAGTGGGGGGCTGGATCCCCCAACCTGGAGATCATGATCAGAGTGGAAATCAAGAGTCGGGCATTTAACTGGCTGAGCCACCCAGGTGCCCTGGAACACTGCTGATTCTTATACCATTTTGTGAATAGTATTCCATATCCCCCTCATCTGGAATACTCCTGCCTCTTTGTTGACTTATATTCTCCTTATCCTCCATGAGTTGTCTTTAGAATCACCTGCTTCTCCCTGAAACCTTTACATTTCTCCCTGCATTCAATACTACTCTAGCATGTAGCAACAATCTTCTTTTCCACTATGGATATCTGTACTGTAATTTGAATAATAATAATCTCATTGCATAGGGGTTCTTAATGGGTCATACTATGAATTTAACATGGTGCAGTACAGAGGAATCATCTCTGAATGTTACCAGATGTGCTGGAGAAAATTTTGCCTTTGGTAATCTCAGAAGTTGAATAAATTTTGGGTAAATCAGGACCAGTGAGAAATACAATGACATATGTTAAGTCTTAGTACTTAACATGACCTCTCAAATACAGCAGGCAGAATTATTTTTTTAACATTTAGTTTAGATTAATCCTTTGTTTGGATTCCTTTAATGGCTTCCCATTGACTATGACAAATCCTTAATATGGCCTCTGAGGCCTTTGTGATTTGGCTTCAGCTTGCCTCTCTAGCTTCATTTTGTACCACTTCTCCTCACTATGTCCTGGATACATTGGCCTTTTTCAGTTCTATAAGTAGGTCAAACTCTTTCCACTCACAGGACCTTCACCTGGAACTCTCTACCCTTCACTATTAAAAAAATTGTTATAAAATATTTTAGTCCCACAAAAAGGAATAAAGAATAAAATTATGAATGTCCATGTATCCTCCAACCACTTTAACAACCTAATTTTATCCAGATAATCTAGTTTTATCATGTTATTTTGGCCATTTATTCACATTTGGTCAATTCTTTCATTCTTCTTCTTCATACCTTCCTTCTAGGATAATTTTTCTTCTTCAAGGACACTCTGAAGAAATGTCTATAGTGGGGATATGTTAGCGGCCAATGCTTTCAGTTTTTATTTGGATGAAAAAATATTTTTATTTCATCTTTATTATTGAATGATATTTAGTAACACAAAATCCTAAGTTGCCAGTTATTTTTTCTCAGCCTTTGGAGATAACATACTGATTTCTGACTCCTATTATTGCTATTGAGAGGTTTTCTCTAAATCTATCAATTTTTATGGGTAAGTTGTTTTTCTTTGGCATTCTATATATTTTTTTTATTTGTATTTATTTTTAGTAAAGACCTCTTCATTTAGAGAGAGCAAGAGAGAGAGAGCATGCGAGTCAGGGCAGGAGTGATAGTGGTGCAGAGGTTGAGAATCTCAAGCAGACTCCCTGCCAAGCATGGAGCCAGATGCTGGGCTCAATCCCATGACCCTGAGATCATGACCTGTTGAAATCAAGAGTTGGATGCTCAACTGACTGAGCCCTCCAGGTGCCTCTGGCATTTTATATATTTATTATAATATCAAAGTGTAGATATATAGTTACTCTGCTTGGGATTGATTGCAATTCCTCAGTCTAAGTATTCTTATCTTACTGGTCTGGAAAATTTTTGACCATTTATAAACTCTTTGTATATTAGTTCTTCCTTGTTATTTTTTTTGGAACTCCTATTAGATAGTAAATAGGGTCTTTTCATTCTATACCTTTCTTAACTTCTCTTTCATATTTTCCATTTCTTTATCTCTCTGTGCTGCATTCTGGGAATTTTTTCATATATCTATCCCAGCTAATCCTCTCTTCAGCTGGATCTAATCTGCTATTTAACATGACTGCTGGGTTTTAAATTTTAGTGCCTATTTTGTTCAATTCTAGATATTCTTTTTGTTTTTAATTTCAAAATATCCCTGATCTTTTTGGATAGTACTGTGTTCCTTTCTCATGTTTTTTCATTCCATCTTTTATTACTTTAATATTTTAAGCACAATTATTTTGTTATATAACCCCAAAATTCCTTTATCTGATATTCTTGAGGGATATAAATATGCAGTTTATTTTTACTGATTCTTATTCATGGTGCTGTGTTTCCTCATGTGTTTTGTAATTTTGGATTTTAAGCTCATGTTTGAAAGTGTTTATCTGTGGGAATCTTGTGAGGCCTGTATTAAGGATACATTTCTTCAGATTTCATTTTTGCTTCCTTTAGGCACCCCAAGGCATGATGAATCTAGGACCACTTTAATTTAATGTGTTGGCTTCCTAGACTACTCTGATAGCACACTTCTTAATCCCATGCCTACCTGAAAGCACATATGTATTCTAGGTAACCTGGGTATATAGTTTCTCCACCCAAAGGTATACAAGATAAACAAAATTCTTTGTCTTTTAGCCTACCTGTTCATTCCCATCATCAAAGTATGAACCTACTGTGCAAATGCTTGGATTAGCCCCTGTTTTATTTTTTTGCTAATTCAATGGCTGTAGCATGATATCTTTTTGTAGCCTTAATTTACATTTCTTTAATGACTAATGAGTAATGAGTTTTCATGTGCATTGGTCATTTGGACTTTTATATTCTTTTTTTGCCTTTTGGGTTGTCTCTTAATTGATTTATAGCAATTCTTTATTCTAGATTCCAAAGCAAATATCCTTGTCTAGGTTATGACTTGTTTTATTTTTTGTTGTTATTGTTTTGCTTTATTTTTACTTTGTTTATGATATCTCTCTTTTTTTAATTTTATTTTATTATGTTAATCACCGTACATTACATCATTAGTTTTTTTTTTTAAAGATTTTATTTATTTATTTGACAGAGAGAGACAGTGAGAGAGGGAACACAAGCAGGGGGAGTGGGAGAAGGAGAAGCAGGCTTCCTGCCGAGCAGGGAGCCCGATGCAGGGCTCGATCCCAGGACCCTGAGATCATCACCTGAGCCGAAGGCAGACGCTTAATCGACTGAGCCACCCAGGCACCCCACATCATTAGTTTTTGATGTAGTGTTCCATGATTCATTGTTTGCATGTATGGTATCTCTTATTGTCCAAAAGTGTCTTATTTTACTATGAAATGTTCATTAAGATATGCAAATTTTGAGTATTATTTAAAAATCTTTCCTCAAGCTAAACATTCATTTTATTCATTATCTTCCATAAGCTTTATTACCTTCTCTTCTATTTTAAAATTCAGCTTTGTTGTTGTTGGTATTTGCATAGGAGTGGGAGAAAGTGAGGTGCAAAGGAAACATGAGATCCCAGTAATTTTTTTTTTAAGATTTTATTTTTATTTATTTGACAGAGAGAGGGCAAGAGAGCACAAGTAGGGGGAGCAGCAGAGGGAGAGGGAGAAGCAAGTTCCCTGCTGAGCAAGGAGCCTGATGTGGAACTCGATCCCAGGACCCTGGAATCATGGCCTGAGCTGAAGGCAATCGCTTAACCGACTGAGCCATTCAAGCGCCCGAG